TTAGCTGGGCAGTGGCCTTGGCAACATTCATTCTTGGGCATTTTCTTGTTCTTTCTTCCTCCCCGCTCCCGTATAATAGATATTTTTATTATTTTTTTAGTCCATTTTTTTTTTCTCCTGGTCTGCTGGGAGTTGAGGATGGGACCACTCCTTGCTGTCAAACTAAATCAGCACCTGGGGGTGGAGGACAGTCATTTAATGACACCCCAATATGGGGAAGAATGTTCTGAGGGTGTTACTTTTAGAGGTTTTGATGTTTCCTAGACTTTAACTTCATTGTACCAGGGTTGAGAAAATCTTTCTAAGGTCTATTGGCTGACCAAGTCCACCTCAGTGTGCATCCACAGACCCAGACACTTGCTGCAAAGCTTGGGCAGGACAGTTATCCAACCTGTTCTGGCTTTCCATCTTCTGACAAGGCTAACATCCTCTACTGGCCTAGATGAGCTGGCTATCATGTCCCCCATGTGCATCTGGGCATGCTGTCCATTGCACAGCCATCAGTAACTGAGGAGCCCAGTCCCAACACATGCTCTCCAAGGTCGGACCACAGATCTTGTGATTTTCCCTGTGGCTAGGGTCTGAGTTCAGTGATCCAGCTGGAGAGTCCCCCAAGAAACTGCCTGCAGTGACCACAGATTTGACTCTTGTGTTTGCCAGCTAGTGCAGGGTGGGTCAGGTTCAGTCCACTACCTATACCAGCCAATGCACATACTGGTGGATGTAGGTGCCGGGTCAGTTCCACCCTCAGCCCCATCTCTCACGGGAACTGATGGGTGCTGCAGCCTAGCCCAGCCCAGCCCACAACACGCTGAGTCTTCATGCGCACCAGCAGGTTTCTAGTCAGGGCAACCCTAAAACCCCCAGCAGGTCCACTCCCAGCCTGGTTTTTCATGTGTACCAGCATGTGCTGTAGCCTAGCCCGGTCTGTCCTGCATCCCATCTGGCTCTCATTCACACCCACACAGCTTGGCTCAGCCAGACCCATCCCCAGACCCAGCCCACACGTACACCAACAGGTACTATTACCTTGACTATTACCTTGACTAGCTTGGCCCAGCTCTCACACTCACCAGTGGAAGCAGTGGCTCAGCAGGGGAGTCCCCAAGGTTCCCCTATCAAGCCTGGGCATTTTCTAATTTTCCACCTACATGCTTTTGTTTCTCCTGGAAAGATAGAGTAGATGTATTCTTGTATTCTTCCTTCAGAGCACAAATAAAATGCCTGAACATTATAGATAAGTCAGGCATACAACACCAACAAAAACCTGTGCTGTGCAGCCAAATGGGCAGCTTAGCCAGACTCCACTTAAGAAGACTTCACCTTGGAACAACCAGCTCTCCACCCTCACCCTCTCAGCAAAGGGTGAGGGCAAATTCTATAACTGAAAAACAATAAAATATCATATGTTAAACCACTGACCTCATCTGAACAACAGAGAGATAAAAAGACTTGCAGAAAAATGAACTCGCAAGTGACTGGGCTCGTCCTATCCTCATGGGAGATTGGATAGACGAGATCGGGCGCGTTCAGGGTGGTATGGCCGTAGACGGGAGATTGGATAGAGACGCCCGTTTTAGGCTGTGTGTTGGCCCCTCTCAGCCATCACAGGCATCTGGGGAATGAACTGTAAACTGAAAAAATTCTTTTTCTCTATCAATAAATTAACTAATTAGTTAACTTTTAAAAAGAACGAATAAAGCCTCAGGGACATCAGAAGAACCTGTAAGATTAAAACAAAAAATCAGGGCCCGGCACAATAGCGTAGTGGTTAGTTCTAGCCTTGCAAGCGCTGGGATCCCATATGGACTCCAGTTCTAATCTTGGCAGCTTCACTTCCCATACAGCTCCCTGCTTGTGGCCTGGGAAGCAGTCGAAGACAGCCTAAAGCTTTGAGACCCTGCACCCACATGGAAGATCTGGAAGAGGCTTCTGGCTCCTGGCTTCAGATTGGCTCAGCTTTGGCCACTGAGGTCACTTGGGGAATGAACCATTGGACGGAAGATCTTCCTCTTTGTCTCTCCAATAAAAACAAAATAAATGTTTAAAAAAAAAATAAATAAAACAAAAAATCAGAACGAAAAGAAGGAAAAGAGAAATAGGATAGGGTTGAAAACTACTCAATGAAACACTAGCTGACAACTTCCTAAATGTTGAAAGAAAGATAAACCTAAAATAAAGAAGCTGAGAAAACTCCAAATAGGAGGATACTAACCCTTGGCCAAGGAGCCATCCGAACAAAGAAAATAACCTGAGACAGAGAGGGTGTTATTTCCTCTCAGCCACGTACACGCATGTACACGCATTTGTGCCAAACAACAGAGTCACAAAATACATGAAGTAAAGAAATGCAAGCCAACAGGTCGCAGTTAGAACTCCAACACCCAAAGAAGAATGACCTTGAAAGTTGCCAGAGGAAAAGACAGCTTTCCCACACAGAAACATCCTCAAATCAAGTGACAGCAGGTGAGCCAATTATCAGAAACCAGAGGCCATGGTAAGAAGCACAATGTTTCTCAAGTGTTGAAAGCAAGGCACCATTAACTTGGAATGCCTAGCCAGCAAAACTACTTTTCTAGAACCAAGGGAAAACCAAGACATTCTAAACCAAGCAAAACCAAGAAAACCTGCGCCCAACAGCCCCACTCTAAAAGAAGGGCTAAAGCATGTTCTCTAAACAAAAGGGAAATAAGAGAAGAAAACTTAGAATGCTAGGAAGAATGAAAGAACAGAGTAAGCAAAAAAAAGGGGAACCTACTGGCTTTCCTTCTCTCTCAAGTGGATTTAAATTATGCTTGATTCTACTTCAAAAAAAAAAAGATTTATTTTTAAATTTCCATTGCAAAGTCAGATATACAGAGAGGAGGATAAACAGGAAGATTTTCCGTACGATGATTCACTACCCAAGTGGCCACCATGGCCAGAGCTGCGCCAATCTGAAGCCAGGAGAGCAGAGCCTTTTCTGGGTCTCCCACCCGGGTGCAGGGTCCCAAGGCTTTGGGCCATCCTCAATTGTTTTCCTAGGCCACAAGCAGGGAGCTAGATGGGAAGCAGGGCTGAAAGGATTAGAACTGGTGCCCATACGGGATCCCGGAGCTTGCAAGGTGAGAACTTAAGCTGCTAGGCTACTGTGCAGGCTCTGGCATACTAAATTTTAAAGATGATTCAACTGGGCCCGGCGGCGTGGCCTAGCAGATAAAGTCCTTGCCTTGAACGCACCGGGATCTCATATGGGCACCTGTTCTAATCCTGGCAGCTCCACTTACCATCCAGCTCCCTGCTTGTGGCCTGGGAAAGCAGTCAAGGACGGCCCAGGGCCTTGGGACCCTGCACCTGGGTGTGGAATACCCAGAAGTTCCTGGATCCTGGCTTCGGATCAGCATAGCATCGGCCGTTGCACTCACTTGGGGAGTGAATCATTGGATGGAAGATCTTTCTCTCTGTCTCTCCTCCTCTCTGTATATCTGCCTTTCCAATAAATAAATAATTTTTAAAAAAACCATGATTCAGTCATTTGTTGTCTTTAAAAATCACCTCAAATATGATGCCAGCAGTTGAAAATAAAATCACACATGTATCATGCAAACATCAATCAAAGCAAAGCAAAAGTTGCTGTATTAGTAAGAGCAGATCAAGTAGGGAGTAGACATTTTGCCTAGTGGTCAAGACCCCACAACCCACATGGAGTACCTGGGTTTGAGACCTGGCTTTGGCTGCTGAGTCCAGCTTTTAGCTAACGCAGAACCTGGGAGCCAACAGTGAGGACTCAAGTAGCTGGGTTCCCGCCACCCATGTGCAGAGGGTGTCCCCAGCTCCCAGTCTCAGCCTTGCCCGTCACCGCCCGCGGCAGGCATCTGAGGACTGAGCCATTTGCTCACTTTCTCTTTCTTTCTCTCTTTCAAATAAATAAATCAAATAAAGTGGATACTAGAGTAATTAAAATAACCAGAGGTAAAAGGTATATAATGTAATGGTAGAATCGTATAATGAAGATATGGCATATGAACCAAATGCATAGGGACCAATCAACAGAGTCACAAAATACATAAAGCACAAACTGACAAAAACAAAATCATAATTACAGTCTGAAACATCAATACCTTTCTCAGTAATTGTTTGAATAATTAAATAGAAAATCAGCAAGGATTAGAAAAACAACACGACCACTAACCAAAGGCATATAATATTCACAAAGCACTCCATCTAACAACAGCATGACACACATTCTTTTCAAGCGCCCATGAAACAAATATCAAGATACCCTACCCCGGGCCAGGAAACAAAACTCAGCACAACTGAACAGAATGAAAATGAAAATTCAGCATATCAGAATGTGTGGATACCCTTGAAGCCCACCTGAGAAGAAAATCTGCAGCCCTAAACAGACAGATTAGAGAAGAAGACTCATACTGATAATCTAGGGTCCCAAAACAGAGAAAAGTAAAGCCACGGCAAGCAGAAGTAGAACAGCCAAGGCAGAAAGGAACAAGGAGCTTCTCTAGGAAAAATAAAAAGGCCAAGGGAAGGAAAATGGCCATGGGATCATGTTGGTGGGAGGTATCTAAGTGGGGCTGCTGTGGAGACAGCAGGGTCCCTAGCACCCAGCCCTGAAGGAAACCACATCACCGAGCTCTTCTTAAGGCCAAGCGTGAATGTAATCATCCTCTGCGGGTTGGATAAGGATGAATTCTTCCGGGAGGTTAAATTGTCACATTAAGTGTCTGAATCATTAGCAATGAAATCTCCCCCTCCTGATGAGCCACTTTGTTTATGTGAAAGGCTGATGACACAGAGAGGAGACAGAGAGATCTGCCACTGGTTCAGTTGTCAACTGCCACTCCAATGAGGGATGTCAGGGGCACGTGCTGGCTGAGCTCGCTGTCCCACAAACATGAGTTACACCTGCACAATTCTGCATGTGCTTTGAATACTGACTGTTTCAGGATCTTTTCCCAGACCCAACAATGCTAAGACAAATATTCTTAAAAAGATTTTCTTACCTCATAGAAGAAGGGATGCCCAGCCATATCAAAGATGTTGACCTTGACTTCCCTGTCTCTGATTTGCAGCCTGAAATGATGAAAGGGAAACAATTTCAGAGAAGTTCAAGGTTTGTGCATTCACATGGATATCTTGTATGTCACTTTCCAAGTGCAGATGGCTGTGTGTGCGACTCTGTAGGAAGCGACTGCGTAGGTGATTGGCCTCTTTGCTCTGAGCCTACAGACCTATCTGGAGGGCTCACCTCATGAACCCGCCTCACCTAGAGATACTGCAGGCCACTGTCCCCCATCAGCTAGGGACAGCTCCACAACACAAGAAGAAAACTCAGGGTAGGGAAGTGGGAGCCAGAGAGGGCTTCTCCCATAAGCATCCTTTCACTTAGGAAGGGACACCTGAATTACCACTGGCTATGCTTGGGAACCAGGCAGTACAGAAACAGGGATGGATGTTGAAGACACCTTTTTAATTTCTTGTCATCTTCACTTGACAAGGGGCAATTGTCAATTCGTCGGGCCCGGCAGGGTGGCCTAGCAGCTAAAGTCCTTGCCTTGAACGCACCGAGATCCCATAGGGGCGCCGGATCTAATCCCGGCAGCTCCACTTCCCATCCAGCTCCCTGCTTGTGGCCTGGGAAAGCAGTTGAGGACGGCCCAAAGTCTTGGGACCCTGCACCTGCCTGGGAGACCTGGAAGAAGTTCCTGGATCCTGGCTTCGGACTGGCGCAGCATTGGCCATTGCAGTCACTTGGGGAGTGAATCATCGGACAGAAGATCTTCCTCTCTGTCTCTCCTCCTCTCTGTATATCTGACTTTGAAATAAAAATAAAATAAATCTTAAAAAAAAGAAAATAAAAACTCACCTTTTTGAAAAAATGTATACAGAGATTTATTTTCTAATACAAGAGAATTACAGGGGACAGACAGAGAGGCAGATCTTTTATCTATTAGTTCACACCTCAGATGTTGCAATGGCGAAGTCTGGGTCAGGAGCCAGGAGCTTGATCTGCTCCCACGTGGGGGGTGGGGCCCAAACACTTGAGCCATCCCTCAGTGCTCTTTCCAGGCGATCTGCAGGATGCCGGTTTGGAAGTGGAGCAGCCGGATCACGAACTGGCGCCACATGGGATGCAAGTGTCTCAGGCAGAGACTTCACCCCAATACCACAATGCCAGCCCCTTGTCATCTGATCAGCCCCACACTGCTGGCCACAGCCAACTGAGCTGGGGAAAGGCTCTTGTCCCCACCTGGGGGTTTTTAATGTGGAGTATTATTTTTAGTTCCTTCCTAGAGCTAAAGATACTGAATGTGAAGCTCAGAGTTGCTGGAGCTATGTTGAAGAAGTCCACTTGGATGACAGGCCACACATGGAGGGACAGGGGCAGTGACGGGACCTATTCAGAGGCTGTTCCAGATTCCAGCTGTTTATGAGACCCTGCTCATATTTCTTGTAGCAGACTCTACAAGACTAACATCCTTCAGAGATTTTTTTAAAAGATTTATTTTATTTTTCTTGGAAATCTGGATATACAGAGAGGAGGTGAGACAGAAAGGAAGATCTTCCATCTACTGATTCACTCCCCAAATGAGCGCAACGATTGAAGTTGAGCCAATCCGAAGCCAGGAGCCAGGAGCTCCTCTGGGTCTCCCATGCGGGTGCAGGCTGTCCTCAACTGCTTTCCCAGCCCACAAGCAGGGAGCTGGATGGAAAGCAGGGTTGCCGGGATTAGAACCGGCACCCATATGGGATCGTGGCATGTGCAAGATGAGGACTATAACCACTACGCTATCGCGCCAGGCCCTCCTTCAGAGAGTTTTGCTTGAGTTGGTTTGTGCTGGGTTTCCATCAATTATTCTTGACTTAGTTTTTTAAAAACAAGTTCAATGAAAAGCAGAATAGTCTGCAGAATAAACCACAGTGCTGAGGCATGATATGGTAATTATAACTTCTTAGACAAAGAAACTAATTACTCATATATATTCAAAACAAATATGAATTTAACAAGCTGTCCTGTTATATCCTTAATGAAATATTGTGCCCTGAAGCAGGAAAGGGAAGATACAAAAGAAAGTACAAAAGGAGAATGTGGGATTTCAAGCAAGAGATTCATACATTTCATAGCCAAGAGCCACAATTTTCATTTTGGAAAGAAAACCTACAGAAATCCTCTTTGCTACTGTCGTTTGAAAAGTGGTTATATAGCAAAATTACGGTGGATTCTTACTTGAGTTTTTCTTTCTTGCTCTTTTTTTATTGTTGTTGTTCTTGGTTAAGATTTATTTGAAAGGCAGAGCAATGGCTAGTAAGGGAGAGAACTTCAACTTGTCGGTTCATGCCCTGAACAGACACAATAGCCAAACTCAGGAACCAGAAACCCTGTCCTAATTTCCTAGGCAAGGAGTAGGTGCTCAAGCACTCAGGCCAACATCTGTTGCCTTCTCAAGCGCATCAGCAGGAGGCTGGGTCAGAAACAGAGCAGCCAGGACTTGAACTTGTATTCCAGTATGGCATGCTAGCCACTGAGCCACTACACAGCCCTTCCTACTTGAGTTTCCTTTACCACTTGTATGAGCCATTTTAATCAGTCACAAAGAATATATCCGAACTTGAAACTGCTCTTAACCTAACTAACATTTTCTATGTCAATAATTTAGTGTAACTTCTTGAGTACTGCCCTTATATTCTAACCTGGTAAACAGCCTCTTTAGACATAGCCATCTTACCTAACTATAAATACTGTATACCTACTAGGTGGTACTGAAGAACCTAGGCGTTTTCTGCCTTTTGTGATTCTGCCTTAATGGCTTGGCTGGGGGCTGTGTGAACCTCAGGCCTGATAGTCTACGTGACACCCGGCAGGACACCTGGCAGGTCACGTAGGCAGACCACTCCTCAGGAAGGAGGTACCTGGTGTTTGATAAGATTCACAGCCCAATAGCTCATTGATTTGTACTTTTTGAAAATTGCTTGTTTCAAACCCACCAATAGAAGCCTGCTAAGTCATGACTGTATAATTAATAGCCTAAAATGTATAAGAACTGGGGGGCTTGGGCTCTCGGGCCTTCCCTTGGCTCTTCTGGCTCTTTTGTCCTCCTTGTGGATCCTTGCAGCCTCTGCTGCAGCTGCCCCTCCCCCGCCCAGCCATGCTGGGCTGGGGGAGGTGGCTGGGAGACCTAGGCTAACCTGAATAAACCACCTTTTTGCCTCAGCACCGACTTCAGACTTGATGATTATCTGGGGGTTTCAAAAACCGGCACAACATTTGGGGGCTCGTCCGGGATCCCCAGGTCATCAAGACTGATGGCGTGTGGTGAGTGTCGCCTAACTTTTCTTTACCAGCCAGTTTTATCTGATCAGTTGCCTTTTTCAGCTGAATTTTGCCTTTGCGCCCAGTATGGGGTCAGAAAGCCCTGAATGGGTTAAGTGTTCGCCTGGTGAGCGGGCTGAAAGGCCTCTCCAGGTAAGGCACCGGTTTGCTAAGGAGGAGTAGGTGCGTTCCCTCCGAATGATTTTTCTTTAGTAGGCCTACTTTGTTAACTGTGTGTCTGTCTTGTCTTGAAACTGTTGTATGTTTTTGTGTCTGCCGGCTATAAGTTAAATGCTTGCTAGGATAGTTAAATTGGCTGCAAAATCTTGAACTGTGACAACTTTGTAAGAAGGCCTCTTACCTAGATTCAATTGGACCTATGAGTGGCGCGCCTAAATTCTAATTTGAATACAGCGAGAGAAAGTTTCTCTAGATTAATTTTCTGAGCTAGCAGGATGGCCAAAAGTCTCCGGAGATGTTGGGAGTCGGCAGCTGACATTACAGAGTCTGGGCGGACGCGTAATTCGGCTCTGTCGGCTGGGATCTCTTGGTGACGACTGGGGTCCCCAAGGCCGACGTCCCTGGGTCCAGGTGCCTGACCTGAGGGACTGCGTGCTCTCCCCGGTTCCGAGCTAGACGGACTTGCTTGCCTGGGTTCCGAGTCTGATGAGCTTGGGGGTAGCCTTCTGCCTGGGTTCCGAGTCTGATGGGTTGGGGGCAACCTTCTAATTGGGCGTCAGATTCGATGGGGCTTCTGCCTGGGTTCCGAGTCTGATGGTGAAGGCGACCTTCTAGCTGAGTTCCGGATTCGAGGGGCTGTATAGTGAAGGCGACCTCCCAGCTGGGTTCCAGATTCGAAGGGGCTATAAGTTTTTCTAAGCTTGAGGGGGAATAGCCAGTGTCCAAGTGCCAGGTCAGAGGGACCACCCGTTTGCCCAGGTTCCGAATCCCGAGAGGTGGAAAGGTGCCCTTTCCACCTAGGTTCCGGGTTCGAGGGGCTGTGATGTCTTTGTCCTGGATCGGATGTGTGTTACGTGTCTTTGTTCTGTAGCCCTGCTCTCATCTTGGGCTTGAACTCTGTGAAAGCTCCCTCTACTTCCTGGTGTTGCCAGTCAGCCTCAGTTTAGCTTCTGGGCATTGATATGCATATTTAGGAGGGCCTGGCTGAGAGCGAACTCTTCACCCCCCTGCTGGGGAGAGGTTTGGCTTGCTTTAACTCCATTTGGCCTGAGAGATTTTCTTGCCTTTGCCATCAAATCCAGCCTACTTGCTAGCATGCTCAGTTAAATGTACATTTAACCAACTTATTTGAATCTCTAAATTGCTCAAAAGTCTGAACCAAGTCTCCTGACTTTGGGAATTCCATAGGATCCATGGAACTCTCAAAAACAGAGACAACATTTGGATAATTCAACTGTTATTTCAAATATTTTGGATTATAATTGCACAATGTTATGAAACTGCCAAGTTGGTTGCTGCATATGTTTAATATTTACATGGTTACAGATAATGGATACTGATGTTTATGTCTTGGTCAAAATACCTTTTTAATCACGAAATTGATTCAGGTTATAAGTTATCTGTGTTCTTATTTACAAAGTATTGTTTCTGAGACTGCCTCACAGGAAGACAACGAATTCTTAAAGGATGTGTGGTAAAATTGTTCATATTGTGTGCATTTGCTAAGTATTTAACCTTTAAGGGAACAAATTAAAATTGAAGTTTGATTCCTTGTCAGAGAACAACAGTGTCATAACATCTC